TGAACGTGGTCAGCAGTGTAGATCAGTTTCATGTCACTTGTGAATGAAATAGCATGTTTGAGAGGAAAAAATACCTGATCGCCCGTATAAAAGGTTGGATGGACTGCCAAGTGTGGCTGCCTAGAATGGTGTCTTTCCAGGCTTTTGTAGTTTTGACTCTTGAGCATGAAGTTTGTGGGATAATGCCATTTCAAGCTTGGGGTGCTGCGCAATCTGCTTGCACGATGGGATTTGAACCCGCTGCGACTTCTGCTGCTTGCAAAGAACAGACCAAGTTCAGTTTGTATCTGGGACAAAGAGCAGGTTTGGCTCATTCAGTTGACCTCTCAAAAACAAATTGGAATCAGTCAGAAAAGCTAGAAGAATATACCGATGGTATTTCTGATACTGGGACATCCGTTACGCCACCAGTTCGGTTTTCAGCTGTTTTGCCCTGATGTGGTGGTTCATCGGTCGCAGAGTTCGGGGCTTGGACCCACCGGACAGAAAAAGGATAGTGGCGCCAGGGGAAAAGATCCGATCTTGTGCCTGCAGCGCTGCTGCATTTTTTTTTTTTTTTGGGTGTGGCGGAAATCTGGATTGGAAGAAAGAGGCTCAGATGGACTGGTGATTTAAAATTGAAACGGGACAAGAGGAGATTACCATGGCTCCAAAGCAAGGGTGACATGTGCAAATTGTGAAATGACCCAAATTAGGAAAAAAGAATGGTCGTATCACCTTGTTAAGTGAAACCCCTGACATCGAAGTTTTTGTCAAAAATGGAAAGAAGAAGGAGAAGGAGAAGAAGAAGAAGAAGAAGAAGAAGAAGAAGAAGAAGAAGAAGAAGAAGAAATCACTCAATTGAAGCAATAGTAGAAATTTTCCTTTTGAGCCATCTGTTAACATTGGAAGGATTAAAAAAAAAAAAAAAAAAAAACTGGGATGAATGAATGTGGTCTGATTTTTGGAACTAGGTTCGTTTGTGCTTAGTCAATGTCCCCGTACATTGTGTTTAATGTGTTAGAATACGAGAACGTGTTTGGCGAGCTGATGAAGTACATCATTGGAGTAGAATGAACGAATGTGGTCTGATTTTTGGCAAGCAGGGCGATCTCCAGAAGGATGAGAGCAAGGGAGGGGCGTCCCTAGCAGTTCCTCAGGCCGCACGAGCCTTTTTTTTTTTTTTTTCGGGAAAAGAAACCCCCCTTCTATTCTGGGGGGCATCAGTCTAGTTGCTTATCACCGGCAAGCATGAGTTCAAGCGAGAGCAAAGTCTGCAGAAAAGGGGACAGCCCCTACTGGCTTAACCTGAAAAAAACGTACGTAAGTACGCTGTATACGAATACAACGTACGGGGTACGTTGAATTTGAATACAGCGTACGTACCTAGTACAACAATGGTACAACATAGTTTTTTTTTTTCGGATTTTTTTGGATGATTTTTTTTTGAATCGAAATTCTTAAGAAATCAGAAAACACTGCAAAATGCCTTCAAAACTTCAAAAAATATTTTTATTTTTGTTTTTATTTTTTTTTCTCGAATACGGTTGAGAAGTTCGACATGACCCTCAGGCAAAAGTTGTTTGTATTGCAATGTTGTACAACTTGCTTTTTTTTTCGGAATTTTCTGATTTAAAAAAAATTGAATACAATGTACTTATGTTGTATTCGAATGCAACATACGAACGTTATATTCGACCGTACGTTCTATTCGAAAAATAACCAGCGATTTTGGAGAACCCATTTTTTCATGGTAAGTTGAATAGAATGTACGTACATTTTTTTTCGGGTTAAGACAGTAGTTACCTATCAAGGGGGGTCGCTACGACGGACCCCACCTCCCATACCATGGCCTCCGCCTCCGGGGGGATACTTCTGCTGGCCGGGAAGCTTCCTAGCAGCGCCCAGTCACGCAGCAGAGGGGTCCCGGGGGAGGCTAGGCGTGGGGGGGGCAACCTAGCAACCTCGCAGGCCGCTCATCTCCAATCCTCTTCTTGGCTGCTACAGTCCAGATTAAGATATTTCTCGCCCTTAAAACCTGTTTCCTGTTATACCCGTGTTACCCCTATAGTGCTTACTTCCCTTTCCCCCCTCTTTACAAACATCCTATTTCATCCCTAATTCCCTTCCTTACCGCCTAGCTCAGCATACCTATTCCCTCCCTGCTTTGTTTGCTTCCACCTACAATCTGTATACAACGTTAAAAGTATCCCCAGCATTTCCTGATCAATCCTACTAGCCCCATTATGCCCAGGTTTCCCCGGCCAAAGTTCGCCTTTTTAATCTTCCCCCCCAAACCCTCTTCTAAATCCTGTAGCCTTCTATCATTCCGCTGGCTGCCGCTTGTCTCAGCCTTGTCCCTCCTCCATCTCTGGTCCGGGCACGTGGCCTTGTGGAACGGGGCCAAACTTTAGCTGTCCTGTACAGGGGTCCCGGGTCAGTAGCAGGGGGAAGGGGGCCCATCTTTCCCAAAATCCAGCTTCTTTTCCTCCTGCTATGCGTCTGCATTGGTGGAGGTCCGCCAGTAGGGCAATTCTGATGTTTTCGATTACGCACTCCTGGTAGGCCCACACCGGTGGAGTCACTCCTTGCCTGCATCTTTCATTCCTCAGCATCCAAAGCTCATTTTAATTTTCTGGGAGCCAGATCCACTGACCGTTACATGGAGTAAAGACCTGATGCTTCCCTCCGTTATGGCTGAGGGACCCAGGGGGAGGAGGAAGAATTTATCCCTCCTCCACCCCTCCTCCCCCCTAGTCACTTACTATTTTTAGCTCTCAAACACCAGTCGTCTGTCCTTCTCGTTGCAGCCCTACCAGGCTGCCTAATCTCGTTGCGTGTGGACTCCTACAGCTGTTACATACGACTGGTTAAGGAGCTATGCTCCTGGCACCTGCTGTTGCACAATCCCTTCTCCTTCTCCTGTTAAGACTTGCATTACCAAGTGGCAAGTACTTATCTGAAGCGTAGCTTCCAGGTCGTAAGTTCGTATCTCTTTTATAATGGACCAACCATGACTTTGGCAATCTTGAGGTTTGACCCTCTCAGTTTCCAGTTCTCTCTTCCTTTTTACTTCTTTAAGGAGGCCTCTTTCTCTTACCTTCTTCTCGGTCTTTCTTCGGGGTTAAGGGGAGCCCATATTAAAGCTGGATTCTTCCATTCACGATAGTGGCTGTTGAATTGACTGCCAAAATCCATTCACGATAGAGGATTTGGGCAATCTACCGTGAATTGAGGTCTTTCTTTGTGGTTAAGGGGAGCCCATATTGAAGCTGGATTCTTCCATTCTCCCCCCCCCCCCTTCCTCCTCCCCTTTCACCCTCCCCTGTCCATCTCGATTCCTCGAAAGTCTGTTGAATCGACTGTCCTTTATGCTTGTTTTTTAGGATCCTGTTTCGGGCCCTCCACCACCATTCTGCTGTGTACTCGGTCTGCAGTAGTTGTCTTAATTCCGTTCTCCAACTCGTGAATGGACATGATCTTCTGTCAATGGTCTCCAGAACTCATACCGTCTCAACCTTTTGAAACAGTTTTTCTGAAAACTGGACTGATCTTTTTGTGAATGAAGCCGTCTTAGGCCGCCAGTACAAGGCCCCAGCCTTGCTGAATAAGAAACTCGTAGCCTACAAAAAATTTGGAGGCCGGGCCTACTGGACCACGATGGCTGGCGGCGCCAGCCAAAAAAGAAAAACAGTGCACCGCTGGTGGTTCGGAAGAGCTTGGCGCACAATAAGGGACCTGCAGGCCTGGTGGTTTAAACCACCCGTACCTCGCCCAGGCAGACTTCAGAATCGAAATCGAGCCAACCCAAAATTTTGGAGGCTCGGGGGTGCAGGACCAAAATGGCTGGCGGCAGCAGCCAAAAGAAAAAAGAAACACTGTGCTGGTTTTGGCGAAGCTTGGTGCACAGGGGGAATCCGCCTAGGCAACAAGTGGCTCGGAGGTACCGGTGGTTCAAGAAGATGAAGGGATATACTTGGAAGTTATAGGAGACCCCTTGCCAAATCTCGCGTGTCATGTTTCATAGTCGGTTGGCTTTACGACATTCCAAGAGATAGTCCAGCTTCTTGATTGAACCTTCCTCACATATGGCACTAGTTCCTTGAGTCCACGTCTCTCCTTAGTCCTTCGCTTATCAGCCATTCTTTCACAGGTACTGCCAGCTAGGTGAGAGGAAGGGGTAGTTTAAAAAGGGGTGACGGCGTTGAGATACCATTATTTTTTATTTTTTTTTCAAAAAAGGGGGCCCTCAAGGTTTCCAATTATGAACTTAGATACCATTATTGAACTGACCGGTCCCGTGTAGTCTGGAATTATTTTGTTCTTTTTATCGGATTGGATCTGGATTCAAACTTGGGTTGGGATTACGACAGTCCATGTCTGTACCGACCGACCTAGGCCCGTCAGTGGAGTTATCGATTTTTCTTTGTCCAAGAACAAGAACAAAAGAACTTTGGAAAACCCATCCATCCTTTCCAGAGCAAATCCATGCTTTCTTCTTCTTCTTTTTCTCTTTTTTTCTTTTTTCTTTAACAGCTCTTGCATGAAACTGTTCTGCTACCAAATAATTATTCTTTTCAACGAAACTCTTTTTTGCTGGTGTTATGCAAACAGCTGACGTGGAAAATGTCAGGAGGATGGCATTAGGTCCGTGCAGGTGCAGAATTTGTCGTCAGGTATTAGAGGGAACGTCTGACTAATTGTTGTCGTCACATTTTGGCTAGAAAATTGCAGGTCTTCCGAAGGCATGTGAGTATATAGAGGGAAGGAAATTTTCTGGTCAGAATTGGGAAAAGTTGGGATAGTATTTGAAGGAAGCAGCAATGCGAAGTTCTCTTTGACCCTCATCATGCCTTGGTTGTTGCCCCCCTCCCGGCTGCCTCCCATCTATATTTCATGTTTCGTAAATCCACTCCTTCTCCAATAGGAGATTGTGTTCCTGTTTGCTGATGTGAACCCCTCGTTTCTCTTTGGATTCTCTTGCTTGTGCGCTTTGCGGTTGGTCTTTTTTGTGGTTTCAGTCCGTCAATGAGATTCAAGCGCTCTTGACACCTGCATCGAAGTCGACACCATTACCGCTCGTTCTCCTTGGGAGGGTGAGTGATTCCGTTTCCTTGCCCAGAATTAGACTGCTGCTCAGTAAGCGCTACCGCTCATTCTCCTCGGGAGGGTGTGTTTCTCTTTCCTTGCCCAGAATTAGACTAAGTGCTGATGCATCTGGAACATGTATTTCTGTTCATCATACTCGCTGTTTTTTTTTTTTTGGCTTTTCCAAAGTGAAGATAAATATATTGCGATGAAATAACTAAGGCAGGGGTCCTCACAGTCGACCCGGACAAAACAGATAGTGGGAGCGTTACCCAGGTTTATTTAGCGGGACTCAATCCCTGGGGACCGACCCCCGAAAAGCAAGTAAGCCATATAATCAGAAATAACTGTAAGTATACGCTATGCCACAAGGGCTACAGTCTTTCCCCGAACAAAACGCACGTGTGTTGTATATGAATACAACGCACGAGCGTTATGCTACGGGTTTTGGGCACCAACTTCAGAAAAAGGGCTCTCAGAAAAAATCCGGTACACGCCCTTGTAGCCACGGGTCTGTCCCTGTGGCATGCATCACAGTTGGAGCGACACACATAAATTGAGAAATGGTCCTCATTACAAAAAAAAACAAAAAAAAAAACAAGTCTCCAAAATGAATCTTCCCCTAGGAAACGGAAGTATACGTCCTGCATGTGTAGAGGGGTGGAGCAAGACTGTACGTAGACAATAAGACCTCCACGCAGACGGCAATAGGGAAGCCACACACAGAGAGAGAGAGAGAGAGAGAGAGAGAGAGAGAGAGAGAGAGAGAGAGAGCAGTTCGGCCTGTCGTTTCTTGGAGCATGTGGTGATCCTGTTTTCTGGCTGCAATACTTCGAGCTCTGTCTTCGGCCAGTCGTTTCTTGGAGCGTGCGGTAATCCCATTTTCTGCGGCGA